TGGAAACAAGTGTTTTGTTGATTTTTTTTAACTTAAAACGTGTTGGTGCCAAACTTTAAAAAGAACAGAAGGAAGTGATTTAAAAAGGTAAGTAATATTAGGAAAATTAGAATTTTGATTAATTTAGCTTAAGCAATTCACTGAAAGTTTGAGTTTTGTAGTTTCTTTAATGTGTGCCATTCTAACAAAACCAGACATTTGCCAGTTCTACGTGGGGCACTGTGAGAGTGGTTTTAAACCCACTTACAGCTGAGAGGATCTGCGAGCGAGGCCGGCGGTCCGTGACTCTCGGCCGTGACGCTGTCGGATGACTGAGCTTCTCTGTCGARGTGACGACTGCATCCAGGTCTATATCTGTGCAGGAACACCATTAAAGAAAACACACAGAGAGAATGAGAGTCTTTCAGAAARCAAAGAGAATCAAGTCAGGAGAAACGAAGCTCCGGTTAGCCAAACTCACCGGAGACATTTGACCTATCAGGGGCAGAATCTGGTGTTGAAGCCCCGCCCTCAGATTTGGGGCTTTCAGACCTGAGCAGGTAAATTATACAACATTAGGCTCTGTATAATCTGAAATACGCAGACGTTTGCTGTCAGTGTAGGAATGAGTTTATGAGTACTGACGCTAGTGTGGGTGGTCTCTCGGGACGCCGTGGGGGGTGAGAGGAAGAGGAGGAGCTTGACTTTGGGAGYAGGGGTTTCTTGGGAATGTGGGAAGGAAGGGAAGGCTTAGGGATTTCTCCAACCTTCATCTCTTCACCTAAAGACACACAAAATCGTAGAGCCAAACTGACGTTCAGGTTTCGAGGAGGAGAAAATAAACACATCAGCAACAATGKGCTCAACTTGACCTTTGGAGAGAAATGAAAAAGGCAGAAAAGTGAAACAATGAAAGGAAGAAGTTTAAAATGTCAAAAGCTGCAAGAATAAAAGGTTAAACAGCCACAGAGGACAGASAGGATTAAGAAAATCCAGCAGCCGGGGACACCATTTAGGATTTATCTACTGAAACACAAACCAAGCACTAAAATCAGTTTTTCCTTTAACACTTTGTCCGCTACTAGTGAAATAGGCAAAACAAATAAAAGAGAAATTAGCCACAACAAACAACAAAACAGGTGTTCAAAATGTCTCATCTTAAGCATTAATGATAACAGCACTGGTCATAAAGTAAAGAGAATTTCCTGTTGCTAAACTGAAGCTTGATCAGGCTGTTTCAGTGTGGGACATTTGTGTTTAAGCTCCAAATAAAAAAAGAAAGTCCTTCATTCTCAACGCCACTGGTTGCTCAGTTCTGTCACCACATGCAGATGATGACAARGTAAAACATTTAGAGACATGTTTGCTATAATTCCAACTTCACTGCTGCTTCTCATCTTGACCAGAAATAGATTATAAATAAATATATTTGTTCTTTATTCTATCTGAGTTGTTGAACAACTCACTGGGCAGATAAAGACTAAGTTTACACAAGTTATTCAAGTAAATAAATGTTGGAAATAAACATTT